TTTCAGCTGCTTCAAAGTCTGCGAAACGCTGTTTGATTTCTCTCAGAATTTTCAATTTCAAACCATCAATAGACTGCTCGATATATTTACATAGAGTTTTCACCTTGCATCGATGCCGGTCCATTATTTCCTTAGCTGACTCTTTCATTTCTGTAGCCGGCTCTTCACTTTTTTCCAGTCGTTCCAGGTACTGCATAATATCAGCACGGATTTCGAACGCCTTCAGGTCCAGTGCCTCGAAATCATGTTTGCTGTGGTTCCTCAAACATTTGCAACACAACGCTACGTCACACGTTTTGCAGTACTCTAGATGTACATTCCCGTGTTGTTCACAAACAGTAGGTTGCTGCCCCTCCCCGTTGGTGATTTTATGCCCCTTCATAGTGTGAACAAGAATACAGCTGTCGCAAAAGTACTCGAATTGAGAATTCGCCTCGTTTAAATCGTCCGTGCATTTTTCGCACTTGAACAAAAACTGGGGCGCAATTATTTCTTCACAGTTGGTACAACTAAATGGGTTTAGTTGGGCCATGATCAGAGAGTTGTCAGTAATTATCAAGCGATTAAAACAAAAAGACTGAATTCCAACTTTTTACATTTTAATTTCAACAAAGGTTGGTAACAAAGTCAATCTTGTTGAAATTTTAGTTAAGCTCACATTTGCTTAAACAACGAGAAAAAAATCCAAGATAAGGTCCTGTTATTTGAAGCTGAAAAACAAAATATATCAAAGAAACGCAGTTTAAAATCTGCACCAAACTAAAAACCCATATTTAAAGCTGCAATTCAGATTCTGAATAAAAATAGGTATAAAAGATAGCGTATAAACCACAGGATAAGCACGCATAGCGTTAATAGTACAGTCTCTTAACATCGAAGTTTTCCTCATGGTTCCAATAAAAAGGCAGAAGTCTTTCTTTAAGCATAGCTGCCTGTAGAACACGTAAATGCTTGTTCAGGAATGAGTGTTTAAATTATTTTTGTAAATTAGCCATAAAAAAATAGAGTATCGAAACGCATAAATTGTACCACGCAATAAGTACAAAAAGTCTCGTACGTAAGACAAAAAACCAACTTCAAAAGTTCAAGTACCGTAAAAAAATTTGATTCTAGTAGGGAATAATGTGACCAAATTTGTGACCCCCGATTAAAGTGCAGCGTTAAAATAAGTCGCGTGTACTTGTTAAGTAAACAAAATAAACATTTTTTACTTGAGCTCGTAGCATCGATACCTTCACATGGGTAACTCAAAATAAATTTTTCGATAAATGTTGCATAAAAATATGCATTATGAAACAAAGCGGACTGACCATAAATTAGTACGCTTGCAAACTTGCCTAAATGATAATAAGTCTGAACTAAAAAAAACTTAAAGTAGGATCGAACCCACTACCTGCCGCTTTACAGGGAAGGGTTTACCAATAGTCCAATGGTACTAGCTTGTCCTTCGTTTATTCATGTACAAATGCCAAAATAACTAACAGCTTATTATAGCCTTTTATTAAGCAGAGAAAGGTCATGCTGCTTCAATATCGCCGAGACAACCTTGCACTAAAATGTGCGACTTGCAGTTGAAAAATAGACTCGTATTATCAAAACAGTTTTGCTTGTATAACAACAGCAATTAGGCTGTGTGATACGACGGCTATTCACTTGCCTGAAAGACCGAATGCTTCACATCACTTGTGATACAACGAAAGCGTAACATTGCGAGCTACCAACTAGGAAGTGAGATGGAAATAATTAAGACGAAAAAAAACTTGATAAAAAATCAATTTCTTTAATATTTTTTATGGAAATAAAAAATTTATGGAAATACGAAAAAAACCGAATTAAGCAAGCCTGTAGTAGTTTCTGGGCTTTCACTAAGTCGACACTAAGTAATTATTAATCCGAAAACAAACAAATACTTAAAAAAAATAGTAATGAAAATGTTGAGCGATTAAATAAATTTAATTTGTAAATTTTATATTATAACCACCTTGATTTATTCAACCGATGTAAAAATTTTTTAGCCGACAAAACACGAGCCGAAATTATCTAGGCCGAACAAAAATTCTACGCGAAAAAAAAACACAAAAAATGGAAAAATAAGAGACAGGATAAGTAAATTTACAATAAACAGGAATTAATCAACAATTGAAACTAAAACTACAATTAAAACTGCTTCCAGCTGAAAAAAATCCGTTGTCGACAATCTATAGTCGGACTATTCAGTTTTTCCCACAAAAAAATTTAAATGTTGAAACAAAATATTCTAGTCAAAAATGCCAAACATTTGAACATTGAACGGAACAAAATTTACCAGGAGGAAACAAAGTCAACAATCTTTGAGCAGACACAAGTGGAGCCCAAAAGGTATGATTTAGAAGTCAAGTTTTAAGTCACAACTGAAGCTGCAATAAACAAACACTTGCACTGGCAACTACAATAAAAGTGGCTTGGAGCACAAGCAAAATCCGTGCTTTGGTAACTCAGCCAACAAATTTGAGCAGACAAACGAAAGTCAGACGAAATTTAAAGAAATATTTTTGTTTCGACCATTCAAAACATGAGGAACTTTGTATTGAAACAAAGTTTCTATGAGGAACTTTGTATGCGGATACAAAGTTCCTCATTTTTTATTAAATGGTCGAAACAAAAATATTTCTTTAAAATTCGTCTGATTTTCGTTTTTCTGTTCAAATTTGTTAGCTGAGTTTATAATTTTTCTTTTCGTTTCCACCCTAAATTATGTACCATAAAAAATCTTCGCATAGCGTCAAGTTATAAATCATATTAAAGACCTTTCACTCGTCATTCGAACAACCTTAAATAATTTTGAACAATTTTTCTATGTCGATAAAAAAACCGGTTTGGAATTTTGGTCTTATTTCGAGTTAATATGGTTTGCAGGCTTACAATGGCCTATTCGAGATTTTTATTTTTCGAAATTTTTATTAAAACTTTTTTAGTGAAAACATTTTTAAAGTTAATTTTTTTTACTCGAGTGAACTTACTTTTTAAAATATTTAGCATCATTTTGGTAATCAAAACACTTCTGCAAAAAAAAGAAATTTTCTTGATTTTTCCCTACAATTTTTTTTTACGTTTTGCTTGTAAATTTTAAAAAAAAACTGTTTCTCAATTGGCCTTTTTGACTATGACTGACGATTATACCTAATTTCTATTTTTTTTCCTTCAGATCTTACTATCACACCACACAGAAAAACGACCATAATTTGAAAAAAAAATTGCAATTTTTAGTATGGTTGGAACATTCTGAGCTTTTGCACTGTTAACCGTCTATCCTTCTTTTTCATTAGCATACATACTGAAAAAAAACAAGGTCCGGCCTGGACTCGAACCCCAGACCTTAGGATACAAAGCCAACCGCGTTACCTCTAGGCCAAGTGGGAAGGAACCTGGAAGTTGATAAGGTTCACTAATAAAGAAAAAATTTATAACACAGAGGTGAAGCTGCGCAAACCTGTGAAAACACGACCAAAAAACAGCTCTATCAAGTGAAGAAAGAAACATTAGAAATAAGCCTCGAATTAGCAAAAACTCTAATGTATAGGATTCGAATTTGTGACCTTCTGCAATCAAGAGATTTTGACTCTCACGCACTATCCACTCAGCCATGCAAGCTTAACAACCGAAAAACACTATTCACGAAGAAAGCAGCTACATATACTAACAACTTGCCAATGCTATTCAGCAAAAGTGGCACCAAATACAAATACTCAATTTTGCATGTAACAATTTGAAATATAACAAACTAAAGGCATCCACAGTAACTTTGCATGGTTTGTGCATTTTAAAAATTGCGAGATAAATTAAGTTACAAAAATTCTGAAATTGAGATTTAATTATTGTTATGTTGTTTGAAACACAGCACTTTTTTCGGTTCATTTGATGATTAAAAATCCATCAACTGTGTTAAATTATTACTATTCGAATGTCAAAGCACATGCCATCAAAAAGCTGTTAAGGTGCCCCAAAAGTGGCACCAAAATTTGCCACTTAGCTTTGAAAAAAAAGGTTTGTACTAATACACTCGCTTCGCAAAAGAAAAGAGAAGGGAATAAAGAACAGAAGAATAACAATACGAAGATTTGTAAGAAAAGTTGTTTACGGGAAAAAGTCTAGTTCACGATTACAAGGCACTGGCTCTCGCAAGTGCAAAACCCTTATTTTCATTAACTTACAATTTCCGGTCGCTCAGTCCTTTGGACATTAGGGATTCCGGCTCTTTTCCATTGTCCGTTCATATTCAAATTTTCACTTTTCTTAGTTGTCTTACGTGTTATATTGTCTAATTGCGTGATGTTACGATGTAAGGTATGAAGAACAAATCTATTCACAATATTGAAGTTGTTCACCATGCAAACTTTCTGTAAATTATGACAACTTAAAAATAGTTTTCAAAACTGAAATTCTAATGTGGAGGGAAAGTGGAAAAGAGACGTGATTCCCTCAATAAACCAATCTCATTTAATTTAACGCCAATTTATGCACTCAGGACATCAGGGAATTTAATCAGCTCGGTCGTCCACACGCAGTCTTTAAATGGTAACACTTGAGAACTTAACGGCCGGCACTCGTAAGATCACAGCCAACAGAGATTTACGTCTAAAGAAAACCGAGAAAAAAATAACTGATAGTTTTAAGAATCATTTTCAAAGAAAATTGGTTGACCATAAAACTCTTTGCATTTCCAGAATTTTTTAATAGTGCCATTTCTTGGTTAAAAAATCACTATTTGGTTTAAAAAATATATATATCATTGAGACTTTTCCATTCTGCTGGGAAATCTGCAATTTTAAATCCGATTTTGAAACAGCTATTCGTTTTTTTCGCCATTTGTACATCTGTAATTGATTAACATAATTTGCGTTCTGTTTAGCGAATGAATTTAAAAAGCAAAAACGCTTGGAAGTTTCTCGTTTGAGTTACATATAACTCCTAACTGTCACTGTTTACTAATTCGCTGAAAACCAACCAAAAAAAACTTTGAGATTAAATAAATTATAAATGTCTCTAATTTAATCCACGGGCATCCAAGTTTACTCAAGTTTAATGAATAGAGACACTTCTAGAATTAGAGCACTTCATCTGCCTTGCACCATTTCAATATCATCTCCGCTGCACTTTCCGAGTCCTGATCCAGGAACTGGTGTGCGAACCCCTCTTGACCTATGATGACTTTGACCCCCTCACTGCCCATTCTGTCTCTCAGTTCCTCGCCGTAGTGAGCGGGAGCCCACCCGTCTCCAGGAGTGTAGTAGAACGTAGTCTTCGAGATGGAATCTGAAACACGAATTTAAAGTTTAACACTGAGCTTCGCAACACTTGCGATATATTACAAACAGCATGAAAGACAAGCAGACAGACAATGAGACGAAAATCATATGTTCTTCTCGAATGAAGTTCATGTCGGAGCAAATATTTCAAAAAGACAAATGCCAGCATTTAAGTTAAACTTACGAAGCAGTTCAGTGATTCTGATAAGACTAGTTGTCAACCAGGGAAAAATTCCATGTTCCGATTTGATAACGCTTTCTAATGTAAAGCTTAAGTATATTTAAGATATATGTATAATTGACGCAATACCCGGGATATCTCGATTATAAGTACACGGAGATTTAAAGCAAAGAGCCAAAAAATAATTGTATATTCTTCTAGATTATTCAACCATTTTTCAAACGCTAAAGATGAAGACCGAAGATTTCTCGACTTTTTTCAACTTAGATATTGTGTTTGGAAACTTCTATGCTAGTGCTTCAAGCAACCGACAATAATTATAATAAAACATAAATTCAACGTGATACAAGCTCCAAGTCTTATTTATTGCATCATTGGGCTGCATACTTTTACACACAGCCGAATACCCAAGTCTCGGTAGCCGAAGAACATTATAAAACAACTGAACAAATTTTTATTGCTGTCAATAACGTTGTATTTGATAGCTGTTTTGCTTAAGCTACTTAGCAATAAATCTAGCTTATAGGCTATTTCATTATTCGATTCTGCGACACGTTGCCATTTTTACTTTCGGACGTTTGCACTATCCTGTTTTGTACTAGCATCCATAGACTACTCTTAACAAAGCGTATGGACAATGAAATAACAATTTTGACAAAACAGACCTATAGGTTGAGTTGATCAAATGATTAAAACTAACACGAAAGTCGAGTGATCTCGGCATAGAATGGAATGACTAAAGGTAAATATGGAACAGAGTAAACTGGAATGGGGCCTAGGAAATTGGACGACAAGCAAATTAGACGACCGTAAAGAAACTGAATTTGAGGACAACCAGTATTTACTCAGCCAAAAGTTAATTTAAGTCTGTAAACAAAATTCACGCAATTTGCACACAAGTTATTGTCTAAATTCCGTTATTTTCTGGTCGTCTTATTTCTTGTCGTCTAAGTTCCTAAACCACAACTGGAATAGTAAAACTTGTCGTTCTACAGTGGTAAGCTATTACCACTCTTCTATTATTTCAGTTTCATTATTTTCAATCTCGTCTGAATCACCTGGTCGTCTCGACTCACAGGAAACGATCACGAAATATAGCTTAATTAACACACGAAAAATTTACCTTGAATGAGTTGTTTGTCTAATGCCTTCACTGTTTCCAATTCATCACTGGCCATGTACAGAAAATTACAGAGACATCTCGTCCTGTAAATAGTGTCCACGCCTTGTCGAACGAATTCAACCTGACTTGCCGTTTTGAACCAGCCAATCAAAGTCAAGAACCAAAATTTCGGTACTAGAGACGTGAACAGGAAGTGCAAAAATAGCACCAGGTATCTCAAATGTTGAATCACCGGAAGCATCTGTTGACCCCTGGGGGACACTTTCATTCGTTCAAACGTCGGCATCATTAAGTAACCATGTACTAAGTTTCTATCATAACACACCAACCGTTGATTTTGCCGTTCAGCTTCCGTCTCACTATTTTCTGCTATATCACTGTTCGTCCTCCTGCAACGACCATAGTGTTGAAGTAGCTTCAAACAGACGTATCCGCCAATCGAATGTCCGATTAGGATAACTTCAGTATTCTCCGTAAAAAATTGGTTAATGAAGTCGACTTTGTGCTGAACTTGTTGCTGCAAATTGAACACATCGGCTTGGAATAGTTTTGATTTCCACGATGAAGACAGGGTTTGATAATGGTGAAAGGAATGACTAATTGCAACCACTGGAATGCCTATAACAGAACACACTTTTCATGAATAAGAACACATAACTGTGACACAAAACTCAAAAGACTGAACAAAAAAAATGCTAGAAATTTGAATGCTTGCATAAAGTTTTTGTCACGAACTCAATCAAGTGAAAGGATGAGGGAAGAAATTGAATGAAAAAGTTTTGGTTCAATTTTGTTTTCGTAATTTCTACTGAAACTTTTAGAGAATTTTTAAGAGAATTAAACAACCGCCAATGATTTTGTCCATTTTTTGCAATATTTGTTCCTCAAGGTGGAAATGAAAACCTATTAAGATCAAATCATGTAAGCTAGAAAGTAATTTTAAATGAGGAATCCCAGCATGGGTTGAGAGTCCCAGTCTGGAAAAACCAGCATCGACGGAGGGTTTCTATTAGACAGCTGTTTAGAGGGAAAGTCTACTGTTCTTTTTATTAACAGCAGAGAAACATCAATTATAAAAAGCCCTTCTGTTTCTATAACGGTCACTTCAGAAGCTTAATAGTGCCAAAAATAGCTTTCGGCACGTCGAACAGCCTCTCAGTACGTCAATAAGTTCAAACCTACCCGACTCTATTAGAGCACTAATCAAATTGTCTACCTGATTTTTGTTACTCAATTTTTACAACCCCAAATGCAGAGAATTTTACTCCTGAGGAGTGTGAGTGTACAGCTAATAATAAATCTAAATTAATATATTTTGTCAGAGTATGAATCGTTTCTTTTTTCGCTCAGTTTCTATGCAAGCCATGGATTGGATTTTGTCGATCCGAGTGCTACTCTTGCACTGGAAGTCACAAATTTTACAGAGGCGAAGCTGCAGTTCGCATGCACAAGCAGAAATATGACCGATAACGCTACTGGGATAAACTGAATGAGTAAAACTTTGTGTCTACAAAATTTCTTAAGTGACGCATGCCAATTATGAGTCTACATAATTGCTGAGTGACGCAAGCCAATATGACGCATTAGCAGTACCAGTCACTTTGAAAAAAGAAATTTACCAACTAATACTCCTCAATTTATAGAGCGGACGGATTTTTACTAGTATACGAAAAAGTTCATTAAAAACATCCGACCCTGTTCAGGTTCGAACTCTCCTATTTTGTTGCGGTTCTCCTTCACTACCTCTACGCTACAGATCCCCGATACCTTGAGCTAAAAAGCTAATTGTAATATGATAGTCTGTGTTAATAACCTTAGCATTGGCTGTACTTAATAGTTGGCCATTGTTCCGACTTTTGTAACGAAAGTAATGGAATATTTATGCTCGGGGTGGTTATTTCTTCAGACTTTTTCACTGGCTATTTTTGACGGATATCACTCAAAAGGTTTTGTTGTCCCGAGCTTAAATGGTGGTTCAACGCGCGATATATTTACGCGCATTATTAACGCTTAAGCGGATATTTAATCCGTTTTAGAAATCGTTCCAAATTGGTTGAAGGAAGCTAATTTGCCATAATTGATTTGTAACTAGGAGCGGAGTCTATCACTTTGTACTTTATATGGCGTGTAGTTGGTTGATTTTCACAAAAATCTCAGCTTCGCCCTGATACGAGCTGTCTTGTTGATCTTATGCACACTCTGCAATAAAAGAACATTTTCAAAATGAACACAAAAAATTGCGACTTGAGCTGGAAAAAAAGAGACTTAAACCATCTTAACATAAAAAAAATATATGCTCAATAGCCAGGAGTTAAGTTTTGAAAAATGATAAATAAAGTATTATAAAACATTGCAAAGCATCAGTTAGTTGAAACATGTATGATTAAAAACGATGCGATTAAGCACAAAACAGATGCATAAAGAAAATCTGCAGGTTAGCAGTAGCGTTTAAACTTAATTGCACATAGCTGTGAAAGATAGACGGTAGCTTAAAGAGCGTTAAATTCTTAAACATGCCAACAATGAGACTTCTTAAACATGGCAGGAAATGTGTCGCTCAATCAAACAATCCAAGTTAGAAGGTTGCTTATACTTGGAAAATACGGAAAAAAGCGAAAGGAATGCAGCCGTAAAAAAGAAGTGGGGAACCAACAACGCTTTGATTTCAAAATTTGAACGATAAAAAAATTTTTACGTGACAGTTTTTAAACAAAAATGGTTAAATCTCCAAAACAACTGGGTTTCAGATCTTCGCAAACAAAATCTTATAATAGCTGACAGTACACTACTCAACTGTCCATATTTATAAAAAAAAAACAATTTCAATTGCGAGATCATCAAATTCATAAAGAGATTCATAATCCAGCGTAATTAACATTTTACTTGAAACATTTATTTATTAATGAGCAATAAAATTGAAGTGAGATGTCATATATGCATCCACTGGTAGTACCCTGACGTCATTTCACCAAAGAGTCGACCATTTCAAATTTTAAAATGTTTCAAAAAAACGAAACTTTATTTTTAAGACAATCAGAGGCGTTGATCAGTCAAAATTGAAGTCCAAACAAACATCCTGAGAGTATCTTGAGAGCATCCCGCCATAGCGTTGAGCACTTCAATATTTGTCAGTTTTTATATATAAATTCTTTGAAAATTTTTGAAAAAAAAATACCGCCGCATCTCGCAAAGTTAAAGGATTTGAGCAGTCAGATTTTGCGGCAAGACTTGCAACCCCTGGGGAGTACCCTGACAGCACCTAACTACAAGGTTGAGCATTCCAAATTTTAGGAATTTTTCAAATCTAATTTTTAAGAAATTTTTGAAAAAATTACAAAAATCTTCTTATATCGTAAGCTAAAAAAAAATGTGTTTTCATAGTTGGAGGCCCAATTTTTGGCCCCTAGTGTCAGCCTGACAGCATCCCACTGGGCTTCTAATTTCAAACATAACGAAAAAAAAACAACTCTAGTTCGAAAACTAAAAAAACATTTATGCATTGCAATATAAGATATAGCTTAAACCTGCAAAAAAATCTTTCGTTAAACATGCAAAAGTAATACGTCGAAAAACCCTAAATATCACAAAATAGTGAAGCCCGCATGTGAATATATAACAGACAGAAGACATGGATAGATAGATTATTTTATTGAGTATAATTTTGCTACAATTATAAAAAATAAACTCATTAAATTTTTAAAACATACGCCGAAACACAAAACTTTGATTAATTAAGGTCCAAAATGGCCTCGGTAGTTATACCTAAATTTCCAGAAACTTGAGCATGTCAGACTGCACAAAGAAGTAACTGCATGTATTTTTTACAGATATGCAAGATAAATTGTTTACGGGAAAAAGTCTGGTTCCTCATTTCAATACACTTGCTCCCGCGAGTGTAATTAAAACGGGTATCTAAGATTCAAACATGCTCAAGATATGTCTGCTTGTGGACATGACATATCACAAGAAAAGACTAAGCGCTTCTATTTCAGCTCTTTGCCTGGAAAAATATTTTTGATTCAATAAACCTTGCCAGTCGCAAGCGTAACAAAAAAATGACATGATCTATCATACAATTCTGTAAGGTAATAATTGAAAACATTACAATCAGACTTTTCATGTAAAGACTCCACTTCAATAAACCTACAATAAACCTTCACTTCAATAAACCTTGCCAGTCGCAAGCGTAACAAAAAAATGACATGATCTATCATACAATTCTGTAAGGTAATAATTGAAAACATTACAATCAGACTTTTCATGTAAAGACTCCACGAAGCTTCGGTAGAAGTCAGCGCATCCAGGATTTCCAGGAATGACCACAATAACTTTGTCTATAAGCCCACAACTTGACCTTGATACAGTCTTGAAGCCTTCAGAAGTTACAGAGCAGCCAATATATAAAATATGAGATGCTGTTCCATTTACTTCCATTACGCAAGAATTAACTGTAGGGGTGCCATTCTGTGATTCTTCTGCCATTCTAGAACCCAACTAAAAGCAACGTTAACCTGAAAACATACCCCAATCAGGTCTAAATGTTTTAGATCTCTTGCTAAGTTTATAAACTAAACTAGCGTTTAGTTTATAAACTAAACGCTAGTTTAGTTTATAAACTAAGTTCATAAACTAAACTTTTTGCTAGTTCTATATGTTTTAATTTAGTTTAACTTATAAAAGTTTAGTTTATAAACTAAGTTTATAAAATAAACTTTTTGCTAGTTCTATATGTTTTAATTTAGTTTAATTTTTCACACATTGTTTGAAAGAGATGTGACTTCGACCAGAATGGACCAAAATGCAGATTCAGCATATTCGAGTTTTTAACAGCGAACCCTCCGAATTGACGGTTTTAAGTGATTAACAACGTTATTGGGACGATTAGTCAAACGGTGAAGGTCAAGATATTCTGGTATTTTGAAATTTTAAAAATTCGAAGTATGACGTCATATTTCTGAGAAACGTCAGAAACGGCCATTTTGGCAGAAAACCGGCAGAAAAACACAACAACATTAGTTGCGATAGCGATAATAACGGAAATTGTGATTGAGAAACAACAACAGATTGCAGGAATAGCAGACACCGTTCCGAGTTGCAACTATTGTGTCGCTACAATAGTTGCAAGGCCGTTGCGAACAACGGTGAAGGGTGGAAAACCAGCCTTCCGGAAGGAGAATAAGAGCCTTATTTCCCCGGATTCAGGAATCCGGAGGGGTCTCGGGACTGGAACTTTTATTAACTTATAAAGACTTTTAGTTTCCCTATTATGTCCTGAGTTGAATTTAATTAACATCTGAATTCATTTTGCTAGGATGAGAAGCTAGGAGTTGGGGGAAAGGGTTGATCCATCTTCGATGGAGATGATGATTTTATCTACTGAACAAAAACAATAATAATTCAATAGGTAGTAGTAGCCCTGTTTTTAGGAGTGACCTCGTGGTCTGGGGTTACTGAGACCCAGCCATGAGCTCACTATTTCTGCATGTAATCTAGTGAATTTGAGCGTTCTGGTCGAAGCCGGAGAACAGTAACGTTTCGTCGACCCGATGTTAGAAAGACAACCGAAAGTACTGGCTTGGTAGAGACGGTTAAAAGCATGTAAAGCTCTGTTTAGACGTTGACCAGTCGTCTCAGGACTTAGTTTCATTTTCTGTTGATATGTATCTTCAGGGCGAATGTTACATAGATGTTTTTATGGCGCTCCTGGGTGTTATTCTTTTTTAACATCATGACCGGCAGAACCGTTACCGAGCACTCCGCGCCGAGCGGATGCTCACATTAACGCCCTTAATAGGCCTAAACCGCCGGGGCGGAAGGGTAGTTCGGAACGCGAAGCCTTCCGGATAACCGTGAATAGCTTTTTAACCTAGTTAAGACCGAAAATTCACGAACCAGGAAGGGTGACGCGATTCGCGGTCCCGTCGTTCCGTGAGAGGTTTGTGACCAAAAACACTTAAAGATATATATAAAACCGAACAAAAAATAATATAGTACCCAAGAAAATCAAAAAACATAAAAAAATAAACGAAAAAACCAAAAACAGTAAAAAAAAAATAAAAAATTAGTAGAAATCATCCCCCCAGACAAGATGTGATCCGACCCTCCCGTTTGTTGATGATAGATATATTGTTGTTACAGGCATTTATATCAGTCAGGATTGTAACGATCAATTTTGTAGCCCGTTTGTGAGGCTTGTACAATAGGGTTATTGGAGAATTTAAGCACGTTAATGATAAATTGCGCTCAATCCGGAAGGGTCAGCTGATTTGCGCTCAATCCAGAGGGGTCTTGGGAGAAGACTGATCCGGCAAGCAGTACAAGGAGCAACAAGAAGGGTATCAACGACAAAAACAATCGACTGTTGGGTATAGTTAACAAGTTTTGTATCCCTTTTGGTACAAAAAGTAAGATAGTAATCTGTGGGGGGCTCGACAGTGCTGCACTGTAGTGACCCTTCACCGAACTGCGAATATCTGAGTTAAGCACCTTGATTCGGATATTAAACAAACCCGGAGGGGTATAGTATTACTAATATTATTACTTCTATAGCCTATATTAATACTCCTATATCGTTTTTCAGTGAAAAACACAGAAAGCAGACCGGTTTTTAGGGTCAAAATAGCGATATTTTGATCCCCCCACAAGTCGCGATTTTTGAGATATCGATATTTTTTGAAACGGAAAAAAGCGCTAAAGTAGTGTGTTACATCGTAACTGCACTACTATAATAGATAGAACCGGTTAAGTTTAGTTCGGAAGTGGTTGGAACTATTTTGGAACAAAAAACCGAATCTTCGTGATTTTTGAGAAAACGAAACACTATAAATTCAGAAAAAATTTTTGAAATTTTTGAGTTAGAACAGTAAAAATAGTTGTTCGGACAACTTCCACTAATGAATCTACAAGTTTTAAAACCCGCTTCCCGAAAGCCTTCCGGGTCGCAGAGAAATCGAACTTAACGAGTTTGATTTGGTGGATTCATCAATCCGGAGGGGTACAGGTAGCATAGTTTTTCGCAAATTTTTTCAACTAAAGCGTTTTAGATCGGGTCTTTTGCATTGAACTAGAAGAGTATAGGCCTTCTGAGCTCGGATCAATAAGTTTTAGGTCGAAAAGAACAGAATTGCGGAAAAAGTTAGGCGGAACCTATAAGAGACAAATTTTTTGACTTTAGAAAAAAGACGTTCTGGTTAATAACTTTGGAACTACTAGACATAACCAGTTGATCTTAGTACCAATGAATCAAAAATTTGCTGAGCTTACTGATAAGGACAAAAGTTTTTCGGAAAAGTAAACGAGCAAAGTTTTTGAGATTGTTTTTAGCAAATTCACCAATTTGGGAGGGTGGACCCTTCACGTTTTATAATTTTTTTTAGAAAAGCCCTTACACCCCTACCAAAAGGTAACAGCGGTTGAATATAGTAACTTTAGGCTGTTCTAGACGAAAAGGGAAGGCTAAAGGCACAAGAAAACCTTAATCGAGCCGAAGTTAGGCTAGCGATAAGACCCTTCACCGTTAGCGTGAATTGTCAAATAAGAGGCTTAGCCTCAATCCGGAAGGGTCTAGGAAAGCATAACATACCCTTCCTAGTTAATTGAAAAAGCAAAATAGCATCGGAGAACGTATCCGGAGGGGTATAGGTTGAAAGAAAGAAATCTCCGAAAAGCTACTTTTACAAAACAAGAGGGCTCCCAATCCGGAGGGGTCCAAAATTTTTCAAATTCGGAGGGGTCCCAATCCGGAGGGGTCTTGTTATCACAAAATCGGAGGGGTCCCAATCCGGAGGGGTTTTATATTTACTAACTCAGAGGGGTCCCAATCCGGAGGGGTCTAAATTTTGTTAGTCCGGAAGGGTCCTATTTGTGCCAATCCGGAGGGGTATTATTTTATTAAAGGACTTAGGTAAAACAGAAGAAAGGCTACAGTGAGAGGTATTAGGTTATTAGCTGACAGGCTAGGAATCAGTGACTGCACTGGTAACTTGCCTTTCAATAAAAACCAGACCAAAACAAAACAGGTCCGAACTCGGATATTCGCTACACTAAATCTAAACTAAAAAGAGCGTAATTCATTGGTGTAGATTGAAACCCAATACGTTTTTTTTGAAAAGTGACTGCCCTGAGGATTTTAGTAGGTCTAGCTCGGGCAGTCCGAAGGCAGATAGGTAAGACAGTGCGCGGTGGGTGCAACAGACGCCCACTTGAGAAAATTACTGCCTTGAAAATTTTGTCTGTTTGGTGCAGCACCAAGCAGGGAAAGCGTTTTCTTTAAAAGCGAGTTCGACTATTGTACTGCAACCGACTAAAAGTACAATACACATACGTTTAAAGAGAGGTATTCATATTCTGTCAATATATAAATTTTGACATATATTGCCTTATAGTTTTACTAACAATAATAATGACACAACACAATAAATTTCACAAGATTCTATAAAATAGTGACCACGAATCCCTGTATGTTATCAGAGTACAGTTTGTACATAATTTGTTCACACTCACCGATTATCGGTCGTAAGGTTTGAGAACTAGCACAATATGATGTTATCAGTCAATTTAAAAGATAGTAAACTCACTACCCAATCAAGCACATATATATTTTTTTGTTTTTGATTTAAATTACTGCCTTGAAAATCTTGTGAAATTTATTGTGTTGTGTCATTATTATTGTTAGTAAAACTATAAGGCAATAAGCATTAAGAAGTGACAGATTGAGAATGAGTCTAGACAAGTCAAGGATACCTAAACGAGGTGATAGCTCTAGGAAATTCATATCTAAAAAGCAAAGAAAAACAATGACTGACCCTTTTGTGGATCGGATCAAACGAGCCCGGACCGACAAAGGGGAGACGGTTTCAGGCAGAATGGTTGAAACGAGGAGTCAGAAGACCTCAGAAGAGAGAAAAGAAATGTTAGAATTGGAGGTCAATACGGACCCGGCCAAGAATGACAACCAGGAAGTACATGGACTGGAAGGGAGAGGCAGAAGGCTCGCGAGTGAATCTCTCCAGTAGAACAAAGCCATGATTTTGCCACTTCCACCGGGACATTGGATCGAGAGGAGATGTCGGAACTGTCCGACATTTCAACTGAAATAGTGGCAAATAGAACATCTCCAACAGACAACACCATGATGGCAGGCGGGACTGAGAAACAAACAACGTCCTCATCGTTCTCAGAAAGAATGAGGAACACCTTAGGAAACATCTTTCCATTCACCATGGGAGTGGGCACAGGAAATGAAGGTGAATCCCAGGAGGAGGAGGACGACGAAGAAGAGCAAGTGGACTTTGGGTCTCAAGTCAGCCTCAATAGTTCGACCCAGGAGAATGAGGCATACGTCGAAAGAGAGACTGGAACCATGGACAAATTTGGTGTGGTGAGAACGATAAGCAAAGAGGTAAACACACCGGGCCAGTTGAGAGGCTTCGCGACTATGACAAATTCAGAGCCGCAAACCGGGGAGAGTAGAAACAGAGGGCTAGGCGACGCATTGGCGGATCCTGAGGTGGATAATGAAAAGACGTCGAGGCAGAGAGTCAAGGCCCGAATCTC